ATTTATTTGGTTGCTTTTAGTGCGCAACGTAACGTTCTTTATCCGAACGTTGCCTTATTTTTGTATAAATAAGTTTGATACATTATTGAAAAAAGGACAGTAACTAATTTTTCTTTTTTCAAACCAGATATCTACACTCTTTTTTTCTTTTCTCTGCTTTGTGGAAATGAAGAAGTGTATTGATAATGGTGTCTTAAACCGAGTCATGATTAAGGACAAATTTCCATTTCCATTATTGATGAACTGCTAGATGAGTTGCACGGAGCACAGCTTTTTTCAAAGTTAAATCTTTGCTCAAGCAATGATCACCAGATAAGAGTTCAACCTTCTAACGGACATTATGAATTCTTGGTGATGTTATGCGGTATTACAAATGCTTCATCTACCTTCCACTCTCTTATCAACGAGGTACGAAAATTTGTTTTGGTTTCCTTTGACGAAATTCTAATTTATAAATATTCAGAGGATCATTTAAAGCATTTGGAAATTGTCTTCTCACTTATACCAACTCATAAGTTGTTTGTCAACCCAAAAAAAAAAAATTTTGGCTTGAGGTCAGTTAAGTACCTTGGCCATATTATATCTAGCAATAGTGTTGCAGTGGGTCCTGAAAAAATTAAAGTCATCACTAAATGGCCAAAACCAACAACTCCTAAAGCCATGAGTGAGTTTTTGGGACTTTGTGGCTATTACAGGAAATTCATTCAACGCTATGGACAGATAGTTGATCCTCTTACACAAATGCTCAAAAAGGATAGATTTTTGCTACTGAAAAAGCTTTTACCAAATTGAGGAAAGCAATGAGACAAGCTCCTGTTCTTGCTTTGCCGGATTTTTCAAAAACATTTGTATTTGAATGTGATGCTTCAGGCTCAGGAGTTGGTGCAGTTTTGAAACAAGATCGTCCTATTGCTTTCTTTTGTGAAGCTTTACATGGGCAAAATTTGTTGCTTTCCACTTATGACAAGGAAATCCTTGCCTTGGTTTTAGCTGTTCAAAGATGGAGGCCTTATCTTTTTGGTAAGCAATTCATTGTTCAGACGGATCATGAGAGTCTCCAGCAAAAAATTTCAACTGCAGCCAATCGACGTTGGCTATTTAAGCTCATGGGATTTGACTTTGTTGTGGAATGCAAGAATAAAGGGAAAGAAAATATCGCGGCTGATGCACTTTTTCTAAGAAATTCTGAAGTTGATGGCAATTACTTTACTAGTTCTAGGGTGCCTAGAAACAATAAAGAAAGAACATTCGACTAGCTCCAACGTTCAACATTTGGTTCGAGATGGAGTGTTGTATTTCAAAGGGCGTATTTATCTTGACGAGGAATCTCCTTTATTAAAGGCGATTATTGAACAATTCCATAGTAGCACACATGAATGTCTTCATAAGACACTTCATCGTATTCGGGCAATGCTTTTATTGCAAGGGATTGAGGAAAAAGGTTGAAAAATTTATTCCCGAGTGTGATGTTTGTCAAAAAACATGTTGGTGATGAACTCAGCTTTCCTGGAAGTATAAACTTTATCAGTTTCTTAATTTTGAGTACTTGTTTGAATTGAAGTTTTATGTTTGTTGCTTTTAGAGCAGCATGTTCTTACTCGAACAATGTTTTTTTTTTCTTTTGTTTAAATAAGACTAGTATGTGTTGAAAAATGGCAGTCACATCCCGTGTTTATGTACTACTCCTAAAGGTAAAAATGGTGATTATACAAATTTATGTTACAATCTATTGAATATTCAACATCTACATTTTAACCGACTAAAGTATATAGAAATGATCTAAAAATTTCTTTGGCATTGCCTAAAAAGCATCAATCTACACTTAAAAGTTGAAAATAGAAGGCCAAAAAGATCCATTCTTTATTGTTCTTGATCATTAGCTACATTTAATATCCAAATAGAAAAACACTACTAAAAGCTTCTTACTGAATAACAAAGATTATGCTCTTCAAGGTCTAACATGCCATTTTTTTCACTATACTCTAGTAACATTTGGTAAGAAAAGCAAAACGCAAAGAGTAAGTTATATGCGCTTACCGTATAAAAAATATTTATACGGTCATATAACTTAAAATCACAAATATCAAGAATATTTAAAGGATTCCCACCTATTAGCCAAGATTGTCCTGATTTCTATAGAGTGAAACAAGGCTCCCAGCAAAAGCTAATTTTCTTACAAAGTAGTAAGACGAATATCTCTCTTTCGTATCCACTGTAACATAGAACCAGTTCATCTTCAGGACATGTCAAAAATATAGCATTATCACTTTCATTTCTCCAAGTTATTTGATCTCCGCATTGCTGATCCCTTCTTCTATTATATGAATAACCCACCTTAGTGATCACTTCATTTTCCAAATCAATAGCTACATATATAACTATCCGAGCACGAATTCTTAACCCTTTTCTAAGAATTGCGATTCAAAGAGTAAATTTTATGAATCCGCAAATCGGACTTTCTCTCATGTTTTACTATCCTCAGTACTTTACAATCGTTAGTTTTAGGAACATAGCCAAAGCCAAAATCAACAGCAACATATCCCAAATGAGTTTTTGGCTTAGGCAAAGCTTTGAATTCCTTAGTTAAAGGGTTCCACAAGTAGACAGAAGAAACATGGGAAGATAAAGGTCCACAAATACAAAGTATACCATTAACAGGTTTCAATAGAACATGCTCTAGAGATAACAATTCTATTGGAATCTTGAATTTCCATTTCACATCACTGGGGCTTCTAACATAATTGTAACTCAATAGTGTGTAATTTTTATCAGAAACTATGTTGATATGAGTGGCGATTTCGGGTGTCATAATAGAGAACGCGAAATAGTAAAAGTGAATCTAAATTTTGACTGATAGATGGTATAATGATCCTAATGATAATAATCTGTACATCAAATTGATTGTACACCATATTAATTATAACGAGTCTTGTTACTATTAATTTGACGCATTCAAAATACGCATTTGTCCAACTGTTTCATATGAATATGAACCATTGGAAGTTTGATACAAACAGTAAATAAATTAAGTACCAAGAGCCCTTGTCCAGTATAAAGCAAGCTGGTTATACATTCAATGAAAGCATAGATTTGAGGCCTAATCCACGGAATGTTGAAGGGATAAAAAAACTTTTTTATCTTTGTAATGATTTTTTTTTGCTTTTCTTGCTTATTGAGAACATTGCTTTGTTTTTGTGTTACTTTATTTTTCTTCTACAGGCATCTCTAAATTTTGCACTAATTTCTATTTTGACAGTTTATCGTATCGAATAACTTGTTTTGGTTTCCTATCACTATAATAATTGGTGTAAATTTAACGGATCGTAGTATATTACTTACTACTAGTGCCCTCTTTTTTATGTTACTAACTTACCTGCTTTTGTTTCTTAATGAACCTAACAATATACTACAGAGTACAAATTTTCTTACACGGTAAGCATATAAAAATTAGGTTTACATTACTCTTTGAGTAAATTTCTTGAATAGTGATCCAACTTATAAGAATATTCTATTAAAGTCACTTTTGTTTTTTTTAAGACAACAAAGTCACCCAACTATTTTGTTTTGACTCAGAAAATAAATATCATACATTTGACATGCCAAAATTTCATTTTCTAATAATAAACCTACCCATGATCCCATTTTTTAATAATTTTATGTAATGACTTCTTTCTGTAAATCTATATATGAGTACTTCATCTATTGCAGGCAAGTCAAAGTATGTAATAGTAACCAATTAGTAATAATATTTCCTTTATTTACAACAAAGAAAATTATCATATGCTAAAATCTTTTATTTTGAACACTCTTTCAATATATTTTATTCTATGAAGATAATATTGATTTGAGCGCTAGACTTTGACGTCTCAATGTACTAGAATTATCACTTCAATATCCGTCTTCCATTATATCTGTTTGTGTGAGGAGGACGTCCTGCAACGCAGTTAACATTCTTTGCTTCATCAAGAATATATTTTGCTAGCGTTTGGTCATATATTTCCAAATTTATTTTGAAAAATATAATTTTGATGAAGTTTGTTTTGAAGATAAAAATGTGTCTGGACATCAGTTTTTAAAACATATTTCACTTTTTTCTCTTTTGAAAAAACGTGAAACATAACTTATATTCACAAGTTTTAAAAACTATTACAAATACCCAACATTATCTTCATCAATAACATTCATTATCATTATCACAAACCATATTCCTGAACATAAATAAATTTGGTACAAAATTATCACTTATATAATGAACTACATAATACACTATCAGATGACCGAGAAGACGAAGCAACATTGTTACAAAATAATAAACAGTGGGCTTTTTTTATAAAATAGAAAAGTGTGAGGCAATTTTTAAAAATATAATAGTAATATTTTGGGGCAAAACCAGTTTGGGTGAAATTTTCCAAAATATGGATAAAATTATGAACAAACATGTATTTGCCAAAAAAGAATTGGAAAAAATTTGGCAAAATCTATAACCAAACGGGTCCTTAGTTTTCTGGTTCGAGCCGTTGAAGAGTTTATGTTGTCTCGGTAGGGAATAGTCCAATCTATTCCACCAGTGGTGCAATATGAAAGAGTTAGTATAAAGTTGTCTTTAATAGGGAGCGTTTTACCATAATATGAAATTTTTAGTGGAGAATTTGGATTTAATCGGGGCTCAATAGTGACGAGACTCAAATATGTGTAACTTTTTTGAGTCAAAATTTAATAGTTAAGTAACTTTATTATTTCAAATAAATAAAAATAATTTTGATAGAATATTCGTATAAGATAGGTGGCCATATAAAGAAAGTGACTTTATTATTGCATTTTTATTTGCATCAATCCTAAAATGTTAGTATTTCTGAAAAAGAGTTGCTCCATTTGCCATTTGATAAAATATTCAATTTCTTTGCGTCAAATCTAATACTAGTAGTCAAACAAAAAACAAAGAACACAAGTTGTTGAGTGAGGAGACGATTCTAAATCCTTTTGTACCCAAAATTAATATCATGGCTTCTTCCGGCGACTCCAGCCAAGATTCTGCCGGTGACTCCAGCTCAGATTCTTCCGGCGACTCCAGCCAAAATGACGGCTTTACAAGTAGTAGTAGTAGTAATTTGATAAATCATCCATCTTTGAAGAAACAAAAGTTGAGCGTGACCAAAACCCTAGATCGAATTAGTCAGTTGCCGGACTCACTGCTAGCTCAAATTCTCTCTTTTGCCTACGACAAAGGATGCATTCAAAACCTGTATTCTTTCTAAAAGGTGGCGCTACGTCTGGGCTTCAGTTGATAACCTCAATTTCACTCGTACAAGTTACCGGAAAACAAACGATTTCGTATGCTTTTTTGACTATGTGATAGCTCATTTTGTTTCTTCCAAAATAAAAAGATTAAACCTCGACTGCAGTCGCCTGTCTCGGTACAAATCGCATATGAGCCAGTGGCTTAGTTTTGCTGTTGAAAAAAAAGTGGAAGATTTTGTGTACTGGTCAAATTCTAATAGAAGCGGTTGCACATTGCCTGAATCTTTCTACACCTGTTCCTCGTTGGTAACATTACATTTGACATTTTATTGCTTTGACTCTGGAGCCGTCATAAAGTGGAATTCTTTAAAGAGCATAAAGTTGGAGTATTTGGTGTTATCCGAAGAGGATATTGCAAACTTAGTGTCAGGCTGTCCTGCTTTAGAAACTATGGAATTTGATTCTGTTGGAGGATTTCTTCGAGTGGAAATTAATTCTTTAAAATTGAAGAGACTGTATTTGAAAGGTTTTACGTTTCCTAGTGATGGACGAGATCCAACCTTGGAAATTGTTGCCCCGTATCTTCAGCATTTGGAGATTTCAGGAGTTCATCTCAAATGTAGGCTTTTGTAGATGTGTCTGTTTACCCGAAAATTCGGATAACGTTAAATTTAAATATGGCTCTAAGGGTATGCAAATTCCTTTGATACAAAATAACAATACAGGTATTTTTGCTATAAAATGGAAATGATGGACGGGAAGACTGAAATGAATTAGAAAAATAAGCATAATGAAATCTTAATATATCTTGGAGGACCTATGTCTATTGCAGTCTATCCCCCTTTTTATAGTAGAGGGTCACTGCTTTATCTATAACAACATAATAAAATAATACATATAGTGGAGGACCCATGATGGTTTGTCTCTTCCTTGATTCTCGCCAAGATTCTCTCCCTCGGTGCGGTTGTAACGGCTCTTGTCTGCGAGCTTGGCACTGGCTCGAGCTCGGTGTTAGATCGAACCCCCAGTCTTGGTTCGAGCTCGGTTCTGCCTTGGGGCATCGATATTCGGGGCCTGTGTCGATCGGTGTTGCCCCGTAGTCCGATTCGGACACGGGCTCGATAATGATATCGAGTTTTGCCGTCGATTGGTCTTATAGCTCGAAGCTCGACGTCCCTACTTCGGAATTCGTCCGAGCTTGTCACATGGATACCCTTCGATTGAAACGTCATTGTCTCGACCGGTCTTTATGATGAGAATCGATTTTGACCGTACACAGATAGTCCCCTCGTTTCTCGAAAAGGATGTGGCGAGGAACGATATGATTTCCCTGCGGCTCGATCAAATTTATGCTGACGTTTCTATCGAACCCGATCTTGACGTATGTGATAGCTGTCCCATCAGCTCAATTTTACCGAAGTATTTAATGTGTGTCAGACGGTGGTCGGCCACCGCTGATACCGAACCGTCGTGCCTTAGTCTATAAATAGTCTTTCCATACAACCTTTACCATTTTTGCGCCTTCTCTTCTTCCAAACTTTCTTATTTATCCTCTTTATTTCGCTGCTACGGGGCCGCCCATACCAGAATTTTGGTGCTGTCTATTTCTTCACCTTCCTTTGCACTTTTTCCTTTCATATCAATGGCTAAAACTTCCAAAACCGTACCTCAGAAGGAGAAAGCTTCTTCCTCACGGACGTCTGATGATAAGGCGTCGGTGGAGCCGTCAGTTCATGACTATATTCCTGGCCCGTGCACTTTAAAGACCGATTTTAAGGTGGAGAATCCTTCCTCCGTTCCGGATCGATGTGAACACATATCGATGTATACGTTCTCTATAATGGAGGATCACCTCGAGGCAGTCAGAAAAGACTGCAACTGGGGTTCCGAGGTCGTGTTGCAAATTCCATCTTCCGATGAGAGTGNGCATCGAAGGCTTTGATGTTGAGCATCGATGAAGACAAAGATCGGGGTTGGATGGGTCGTTATATTCGAGTGAGGACCCATGATCTCATTCCGGAGGAGAAGATGTCGTTCCCTGAAGAATGAAATTTTGATCGTAAGTGATTTTTGTTCACTTTTCATGTCATTTTCCAATTTTTTTCTGATGTCCTTCCCTGATGTTCAACTGCCCCTTGGATGCCACAAGCGGTGCCTGACCTCGAGGACTGGGTTCGGAAGCTAGCCTCGACCTCCTCTTACGCCGATCGCGCTTGGCGTGCTTTGGCAAAAGGCAGATGGGAGGCCAAGAACCATGGTGAGGTTTGCTTCTTTTTTCCTTCGAAGTATTCTTTGTGTTCTATTCATTACCGATTTCCTTTTGTGCAGGCGTAACCAGGGATGCTGCTTGGAGGCCTTCGAGCGGTGAAGAAGGAAACAAGTCCCTAGTCCCTAAACATGGGGAAGATAAGAAGCGAGGAGCTTCCTCTCGGTCAGAGGACCCCAAGCCCAAAACTCGAAGGGTGAGGAGAAAAGCAATTGCCCTTTCGATTGGCTCGGTCCAACGACTGAGAGAAGAAGAAGAAGAAGAAGAAGAAGAAGAAGAAGAAGAAGAAGAAGAAGAAAATAGCTCCTCGGCTTTAGTAGTCCGATCTACGGAGGCCATCGAGGTTGCCAGAGCTCCCGAGCCGATAGCAGCTGTGCCTGCCGGGGTTGTTTCCGAAGACCTGAGTCTCAACCGGAGTACTACGAGTGATTTGCTCGGGGCTATGACAATGGGTCATTCGCCTTCTCTTCCATCTTTCTCTGAGGAGGCGTTGAAGGAAGCTCGAGAGTTGAAGACTCCCGATATCGATGCAGGCTCTGGGGCAGGGGATACTTTTAGGGATTGTTTTACTGGAGTCGATGATGGTTCCGATATTGGTGACGCTTCTCTTTTATTAGAGGAGGCTCAGTGTTTCATTACTCGGGTAATGATTCTTCCATACTTGGTTTCTTTGTTCTTTTCCATACTTGACTCGTGTTTCTTACTGTGCAGGACATTAGTAGGTTTCGAGTCGATCTTAGCCAGTGTGAGGCCGAGCTCCGGAAGGTCTTAGGTGAGAGAGATGCCATGCGGCTTCTTTGTAGCCAAAAGGACAAGGCTATAAAGGACCTCCAAGCGGATTTGGCTAAGGTCCGTGAAGAAGGGGTCGAGCTCGATAAGCAGGTGAGCCTCGTTCTGTTAAAGTATGGGTCTAACTCGGCCGTGGAAGTTAACCCTTCGTTGTCTCAGTTGCAGCAAAAGATCGAAAAGATCGGGTTACTTCGAGAAAAAGTCGATCAAATCCGAGCTGAATGCAATCGGTGGAAGGAGACCCTCGACCGCCTGGCAGCGGAAAAAGAAACCATCTTAAAAAAATTATTATCGGCCGACGTTCAACTTCGAAGTGTCAAGCAAAAGGGGTCGGTTCAAGCTAAGAGGATCGAGGAGCTTGAAACACTACTTGCTGAGGCTAAGGCAGAGGTTGAGTCGTCGAAAGTCTTGGCAGATAAGTCCATTGCTGTATATCGGGCTGATGCTGAGGCTGCTCAAATGGAGGCCTGGGAAGCGGCGAAGACCACCGATACTCGAGCTCATTAGGTTGCCGAACTTGCCAAGTGTAGGTCTTGGAGGGAGACCCTCGAGGAGATACACGCTCGAGGTTTCGACCTTACCTAAGATGTAAAAAAGCCAAAAGAGCTCGAAGCGGAAGCTGAAGCCTTGGCTTCTGATGATGATGATGATGATGGTAGCAAAAGCAGATCCGAGGACGGGGAAGAGCTCGACCAGGAAGCTTAGTTTCTAATTCTTCATGTTTGAAAATTAATCACGTAGGCAATTTTTGTATATATATATATATATGTATAACGAGGTCGACTTGTTTTTTTTTTGTGAAGAATTTTAATCGAATGTTGATCTTGTAGTCTCTTTGATCGATCAGATTTGTAGCCCCTGGGTTTGCTTGTTGAGTCGATGATTCAAACTTTGAAGGAACATAAGCCAAAGTAGCTTATTAGCCGTTGAGTGAATGTTTTAAAATTGAAATATTGTAGCCTGTGGGCGTAATGGTCGAGTGAGTGCTTGCTCGAACTCGGAATAACAGTAGCCCGTAGGTTTAATAGTCGAGTGAATGTTTTGAACTCGAGATAATATGGCCCGTAGGCACAATGGTCGAGTGAGTGTTTCGAACTCGAGATAAAGGTAGCCCGTAGGCTTAATAGTCGAGTGATTGTTCCAAACTTGAAATATCGTAGCCCGTAGGCGTAATGGTCGAGTGAGTGCATGCTCGAACTTGGAATAACAGTAGCCCGTAGGCTTAATAGTCGAGTGAATGTTTCAAACTCGAAATATCATAGCTCGTAGACGTAATGGTCGAACTCAGAATAATAGTAGCCCGTAGGCTTAACAGTCGAGTGAATGTTTCAAACTCGAGATAATGTGGCCCGTAGGCTTAATGGTCGAGTGAGTGTTTGCTCGAACTCGAAATAAAGATAGCACATAGGCTTAGTCGAGTGAATGATTCGAACTCGAAATAAAGATAGCACATAGGCTTAGTCGAGTGAATGATTCGAACTCGAAATAAAGGTAGCCCGTAGGCTTAGTCGAGTGAATGATTCGAACTCGAAATAATGTAAGTAGCCTGTAGGCTTAATATTCGAGTGATTATTTCGAAATCGGAATGAAAGTAGCATGTAGGCTTAATAGTTGAGTGAATCTTAATTCTGATTGCACAATAAATCTCAAGTCATTGCACATGTGTTTATGTTTGGGCCAATCTATATGAACATGGTTCATTTTGACCATTTGGCTCTTACAATTTTTTCTGTTGGAACCCTATTGTTGTGAGATGACTTTCTTGCATCTGAACTTGATGTATTTGAGGGCCCTGATGCCCCCC